AACTGGGGGTGACTGGAGATTCAGAAAAGACACAGGATAGACAGACAGAAAGTTGGGGTCAGGTGTGTTTTAAGCTAGGCTGGAGACGCCCAACCCTCATTGCTTCTTTTCTCTATCTTGACTCCTTAAGGCCCTGCTCCTTGCAGTTCTTTAAAACCTTGCATCTAAAGTCTTTCCTTAAAACCTTGCTTAAAGCCTCTTTCCTTAGACTCCTCTGTCCCATGTTTGCTCTCAGGTTATCTTTAGCTTGATTGCTCTTAAAGTCTTTTGCCCCCAGGCTTGCACTGTCCCCTCTCTCTTTAGCTCTCTCAAAGCCTCTGATGCAGCCGTGCCTACAGCCTGCATCTGCATAACTCTTCAAGTCTGGGTCCTTAGACTCGCACTGTGCACTGTCCATGTTCTCTTTGGCTTTTCTTTTGCTTTAGCTTTCCTAAGGCCTATGTATGAAGTTCTTTCTCAGCTTTGCTTTCTGAAGCCTATATTAAAGTTCTCAGCGCAGACTTTCTATCAGCCTCTCTTTAGCATTTTCCCTTCAGCAATTTTTCCCTTTAACAATTTTTTCCCTTCCAAAAGCTTCCCACACCAAAAGGCCCAAAGTAAAAGCTTCTTCCCAATAATCAAAGGCAAAAAGTCCCCCAGAGCAAAAAGCCAAAAGCCAAGCAAAAAGTCCAAAGAAAAGCCCCAAAAGGCAAAAGCCCCTCTTCCTCCTTCAGGGGTCTTTTATAGCAGCAAACAGAGTGGAGCCATGGGGAGGGGAGGTGACATTGCAACAGGAGAAACCTGCATTCCTGCTTCTCTGAACACAGCTTAGGAGACGAAGCTCTTCTGCCTTTCCCTGTTCCGTGGCCAGGGGCTGTGCCTATCTTGGCCTATAGGTAAAAGCAATTAACTGCATCTCACCTTGCTTGTGTCTGCTCCCCACAACTAAATGCACTAGTAACAGAAGGACACCACCTGAACCTAATGAAGACACTTTGAAAAGCCACATCTAGTGTGCAAGGGGAAGGACTGAAAGCTTTTGCGCTAAGATCAGGAATGAGGCAAGGATGCTGGTTCTTGCCTCATCTGTTCAGCACAGTACAGAACTCATAGCTAGATCAATGAAACACGAAGAAGAAATGAAAGATGTCCAAATTGGAATCAAGAAGTAAAACTGCCTCTGTGCACAGATGACCTGATCCTATATGTAGTAAATCCTAAGGTATACCACAAAATGATTACAAATGTAAATGTGCTGGGCGCCAGTGACTCACACCTGTAATCCTAGCTACTCAGGAGGCTGAGATCAGGAGGACGGGGTTCGAAACCAGTTTGCAAGACCCTATCTCGAAAAACCCATCACAAAAAAGGGCTGGTGGGGTGGCTCAAGGTGTAGGTCTGAGTTCAAGCCCCAGTACCAAAAAAAAAAAAAAAAAGTGAATGAATTTAGCAAAGCGGGAGAATACATACGCTCCAAAAGTCACTTACTTGTCTACACACTATCAAGAATCCAAAGAAGAGGGGTGAGGGCACAGCTCGGTGGTAAAGCACCTGCCTAGCATGTGCGAGGCCCATCACAGGGATCTCTGAGGAGGAAACGGACATGCCGCACAGACGGGCACAGATGGGCACAGACAGGCAGCCCCCGGCTGAGCCTTTCCAGGTCTGGCCATCAGGACTCGGCTGGCTGCTCTGTGGAGAAAGGGCTTCATTCCAGGACAGTCAAAAACAGGACATTCCAGGTTTCCCCTCTCCCACCCAGGCACAAGTGGTGAGCCTGAATTCTGGGCAAGGCACTAAAGAAAATGAGTCCGACACCCCTGCCCTTCAGGACCACGTTCTGGTGGGATGTTCTGGGCTCCTGCATTTGACCCCAACCAGTTTACAAGCACCTGCAGAGAAGAGAGAGAGAGCACCATGTCACATCCCTACCAGCTACGTAGAAAGTCCCAGCTCCTCCATCCCAACAGCACGTGTTATTTTCCCCTTTGATTTCAAATCTCCATGCCATGTGGGTGTGAGGCAGCGTCTCCTTATGAGGTGATGTTCATCTCCCTAGTGACTGGTGATGCTGAGCGTCTTTCCGTGATCTCATTGGTCGAATGCACATCCTCTTTGGAGAAATGTTTGTTCAAGACCTTTGACCACTTTTTTAATTAGATTGTCTTTTGTTGTCAGTTCTAAGTCTTCATTCTTTCTGTCTACTAGACCCTCATCATCTGTATGACTTACAGATTTTTTCTGCTGGGATTACAGATGTGAGCAACTGCACCTGGCCATAATATAAAGCCTTTTTTGGGGGGGGGGTGGCACAGTACGGGAGTTTGAACTCAGGGCCTTGAGCCCTCATTTTCTTGATAATATCTCTGATGCACAGAAGTTTTTTATTTTGCTGAGACTCCATTTACCTACTCCTTGCTTTGCCACTTGTACTTTCAATGTGCAAATGAAGAAATGATTCCCTAATCAAAGTCACAAAATGTACTCTCGTGTTTCTGAGAGTTTTGTAGATCGTCTTGCATTTTGAACTTTGAGCCAGTTTTTGTATGCAGTGTGAAATCCAGGTCCAACTTCGTTCTTTTGCATGTGGCTATGCAGTTGTCCTAGCTCCATGTCCTGGAGGCCCTTCCTCATCAGATAGTCTTCGCACCTGTGCAGACTCGGTTCAGTACATCGGCACGGCTGCATTTCTGGACTCTCGGTTCCACTGCATTGAGCCATATTTGTACATCAGTTGCATACTGCTTTGTCCACTGTCTGCTGTCTTTCTGGACTCTCAGTTCTACTGTCCACTGCCTCTGACTACTTACAAAAGACAAAGTACATTTGGAAATTGGGAAGTGTAAGTCCCCAAACCTCTACCTTCTTTTCCAGTTGTTATGACTCTCAGAGTCCCTTGCCTTCCTGCAAATTTTAGGATATCTGGTTGATCATGTATGAGGCATCTGGAACTTTCACGGGATGGCACTGAATCTCTCCAGATTTGGGAGCATGGCATCCTAACAGTATCAAGTCTCCAATCCAGAAACACAAGATGTACTTTCATTTATCTTTAATTTCTTGCAACCACGTTTCACACTGTCCAATGTACAGATTTCATGCTGCCTTGGTTAAGTTTATTCCTAAGTGTTTTGTTCCTTCCAATGCTGTCGTAAATGGAATTGTTCTCCTGATTTCATTTTCCGTTATTCATGGCAAGTATATAGAAACTCAGCTGCTTTTCTATAGTGCTTCTGTGTCCTGAAACTTTATTGAACTGTCTACTGCTGCACAAGGTTTTCTTCTGGATTTGTTAGTGTTTTCTACATAGACACCACGTCATGACTGCGCCCAGTCTGTTTCTGTTCTCTTACTTGCCTCCATGGCCTGCTAATGGCTCCAGTCCAGTGTGGTGTAGAAGTGGTGAGAGCAGAGACCTGTCTTGGCCCTGACTTTACAGGGAAGGCATTCAGTCTTTCACTATTGAGCTGCAGGTTATCATAGATGCTCTTTGTGGAGGCCAGAAAGTTCCTACTATTGTTATTTATCATGAATTTTGTCAAATGCTTTTTCTTCATCAATTGAGATGATCATGGGTTTTTTTTCCTTCATTCTACTGAGGTGATGTTAACACTGATTTTTTTCCATGTTGATCAACCCTGGCATTCCTGGGATAACTCACACTTGCTGGTGATAAAGTATCACACTGCTAGGTTTTGTTTGCTTAGTATTTTGTTGAGGGATTTTGTATCTCTGTCCATAATGGATATTAATGTTCTTTTCTTCTGAGGTCTTTTATCTGTCTTTGGAGTCAGGAGAGTGCCAGCTCCATGAAATGAGTGTGGAAATGTTCATTTCTCTGTTTTGAAGAGTTTGAGGATTGGTGGTACAGCTCCTATAAATGTGTGGGAGAATTTTCCAGCAAAACCACCTGGCTCTAGACCTTTATTTTACTTGTGGGGAGATTTCTGATTACCAGGTCAGTCTCTTTGTTTGTTACACGTGTAATCAGATTTTCTATTTCTATGCCTTCCAGAATGGAAGCAGGTTTGCTTCCAGACACTTGTCACTCCATCAAGTCTGTCCAGAAGGTTGACATATGACTGTACTGTTCTCTTAGTCTTTCCTTTTTTCCTGTGAGGTTGGTAGTAATGTCTTCACTTTCATTTTTTATTTTTGTAATTTGCATCTTCTCCCCCCCACCACCCCCTCCCGCTAGTCTAGCTAAAAGTTTTTCAATTTTGTTGATCTCTTCCAGATCCAACTGCTGGTCTCATTAATTCTCACTGCTGTTTTTCTATTCTGTCTCATTTCTCTGTGTTCTAATTTTTTTCCTTTCTTCCAAATGCTTTTATTTTTCTGCTTTCTTACAATGGAAAATTAGATAATTGACTTGAGATCTTTTCTCTATTTTAAATATAAATATTTACAGCTAAAAATTACCCCTTGAGCACTGCTTTTGATGGAGTCCACTTTTTTTTGGTATTGGGATTTGACCTCAGGGCCTCATACTTGCTAGACAGGTGTTCTACCACTTTAGCTAGTCCACCAGCCCTTTTTTCTGTTGGGTATTTTCGAGATAGGGTCTCACAAACTGTTCTGCTGGGGTTGGCCTTGAACCACCATCCTCTTGACCTCTGCTTCTCAAATAGCTAGGATTGCAGGTGTGAGCCACCAACACACAACTGCAACCTGTATTTTGATGTGTTACACTTTCATTTTTATTTCAAAGAATTTTCTAATATTATTTTTATTTCTTTGAGCTGCTGGCTTCTGTGTTTAGGACTTCATGTGCTTGGAGATGCTGTCAGTGCTTACCAGGCTGCTTCAATTCTGCCTTGGTCTTCACTTCCTGTTTGCACAGAGCCTAAGTCAACCTAGGTGAAGGCTTCTGGCTGTCCTGGGTCTTTCCTGAGCATGTGACTAGCTGTATGCACGTGGACTTCTAGGTTCCCAGGAGTATGACAGAGCCTCACAGGCTCTTATTCTCCCAAGCTCCTTGCTTTCCACCTTGCCCTCTTTCTCTCCATCTTTCTTTCTTTCTTTCTGTCCCTCCTTCCCTGCCTTCCAGGCTTCACACTAGCAGAGCAGAGGCTCTGCCACTTGAGCCACACCTTCAGTCCATTTTGCTCTTATTATTTTGGAGATGGGAGGTCTTGCAAACTATTTGCCCAGGCTGGCCTCGAACCACAATCCTCCCGATCTCGGCTTCCAGTGCCCAGCTTTCCTCCATTTCTCTGATTACGGTGTCAGTATCTCCAACTGCTATCTATCACCCTGGGTGGCAGAGACGAGCATGTGGCTTTAAACGTATCTGCCTCACTATATATCCCAAGTTAACTGAGCTAAGAGTAAACCATTTGAGCCAGCACTACTGGGAGCCACCAGAGGTCAAAACAAGAACAAGGTACATCTGTTCCCTACCAGGAATGTAGGCAGTTGTCCAAGGTCACCCCCATGCTGGGGATGGGACAGAACCAGGAGCCACTGAAGTGCTGGTGGGAGTGCAAAACAGGGCAGCCGCTTAGGGAGACATGGTTTGCTTCTCACGAAACTGAGCACACGTCTACCCTCCAATCCAGCATCGCACTCCGTGCTCTCCAAACGAATTGAGAACTGTCTACACGGAGGCCAGCACACATGGCAGCTTTGTAATCGCCTCAAACTGTGGGAACCACCTCCAGCAGGTGGGTGCTAGACACACTGGCACCTCCAGACCAAATCCACCCAGCCACTAAAAGGAACTGAGCACAGGAACAACAAATCTTACAAGGTCACATACCGAATGATCCCTTGTATAGAGCATTCCCCAAATGACAAAACCAGAGCGGAGACGGACTGCAGGACGGCTCAGTGCGCTCACAGTGTCAGGGGGGCTTCTGCCTGCACTGTGGGGTCCCCAAAGGGGCCCAACGAGGGAAACATGGTATGGAACTCGCACATCCTGCCAACACCGACTTCCTGCCTTTGATATCAAACTATAGTCAAGCCAGGGTGACCAACAAGAAGCTGGGGAAGGGCACGGGGGACCCTCTTGGTACCACTTCCTGTGAATCTACAATTATTCTAAATGTAAACGTTTTAAATGTGATGTTCAGAACAAAGCAAAGGAAGGTAAGGGGTGGAGTTGCTGTTTTGCAGGACTGGGTGGGGGGACAGGGCTCTCTGGTATGGCCCTATGAGCACACACTTGAGGCAGGGAGGGAAGGCATCGTTCAAAAATGTGGGGGGAAAGCCTACAGGCAGGAGCTAGCTTAGGGAAAAAGCAAGGCCCACAAACTGGGACACTACCTAAATGTTCACATTGGTACTCCAACCTGAGACTATCCCTGAGCGGGAATGACGACAGAGGGGTGTTGGAGACTGACTCAGGAAGGCCCTGGAAACATCTGGTCTAGGGGGGTGGGGGCCTCCCATGGTTCCCAGCAGAGGAGCAACTCAAAGGGACCATCTCCAGGACCATGCTGGCTGCTATGCTGGGGAAAATGTGGACAGGAGGGGCCCATGGTAGACGAAGCACAGCCAGGGAGCCGCTGATCTACCACACAAGGATGATGCTGGCCTGAGCAAGCTGGTAGAAGTGAGAGTTGTGGAAAACAGGTCGGGTAGGCCAAGCCAACAGGATTTGTTGACAGTTTGGAAATGGGTGGCAGAAGGAAGTCACAGCCAATGCTGGAGCACCAGAAGTGGCTCCACTCCCAGGCAGTGTGCTGGGGGAGGAGCAGGAGGTTGGGGGAGGGGGAGGGAATGGGCAGTTGCAGCAGCCTGATGTAGACAGAGAAGCTTGTCCCGAGGTGCCAGCTGTGAGAGTCTGGAGCAGGCAGGGGCCCAGACCTTTGTGCTTGCTCTTCAGCAGGAGGTTGGGTTGCATCGACAAGTAGGTACGGGCAAAGCAGAGTCCAGACTGTGCCCTGCAGCCATCAAGGCTCAGGGGGCCACAGAGGAGGCAGGAAAGGTGGCTGAGAAGGCTTGGCTGTCCAGACAGGAGACCCAGCAACTCCTGGGAGTCAGGATTCACCCACAGTGGTGAGGGTGGGAACCCTGCCTAAGAATGATCCTGGGTGACAGCCCCACATTCCTGCCTGAACCCACCTGTAAAGGAAGGGCAGAGGCCCAGTATCTATCCAGTTCCCTAAAGGATGTCACCAATGGAGACCCACCCCAAATCCTGCACTCCCCCACTGTCCTGTTCCTGAGACTGCAGTGTGGCTTTTAACACATTAACGTGAATTAACATCCCAAGTCCATGACAAGTGGTCTTGGAAAGTTCCTCCCTCCTTCTTCAAAAACCCAAACAGCCCCATGAAAACTACAGTAATGGCAGAAGGTTCCAGACAGAAGCACAGCTGCAAAGCTATCAATGAACACAGAAGGAATCCCAATGGGACACGAAGACTGAATGCTCAACACTGTAGAAAACCACCACGAGGAAAGCCAGGAAAGAGCCGGTCAGCAATGTGCCCCGGGGCTGAGCTGAGGGTCATGCCCAAGGCCAGGGCTGGCAGCAAGCCTCCCCATCCACAAGGCTATGTTCACTTTGAACTAGGGGAAAACATTTTTCCTGGATCGTTGTGCTCAGCATTGACACAGCACAGAATGGGAGCCTTTTTTCAGGAGGGAAGAGCCTGGAAATTAGGAAATTTACCAATCTCAGAAGAGAATATGAGTCTTTCTCTCTCCTTTGCACTTGAGAGGGGGAGAACTCAGCCAAGGACTTACCTCAGGAGGGCCTGGCTGAAGGGCCCAGAAACCATCTTGGAATAAAAGACCGACTTCCACAAGAATTTAGAATTTCGTATCATATAGAAGTAGGGTTTTGTGTTTTTTCCAGTAATGGAGAAATAGCAATTCCCAAATAAACCAAGAGCAGAAAGATGATGGGGGGGGGTGAGAGCTGACTTGGGGGACAGGAGCCAGACACCCTAGGCCAGGAGGTAGGGTCTCGTCTCCTCCTCTCCTGCCCGCTCATAAAGGAATCGCCCACCTGTTCCGAGGCCTCCCAGAAGAGGGGACGGGCCTGAAGCTGAAGGTGTGCGCACCCACCAGGCCCTGTGGTTTGTGAAGTGGCCTCTTCCTTGTTCTGGAAGACTTCACCTCTGAGCCCTGCGGGAAGGGGCTGAGACCTCCAGCCTCAACCAGCTGAAGAGGCTTGGCTACACACTGGGAGTGGAAGGTGGCCGCTCCAGGAACTTGCTGGGAAGCCCGACTAGGGGCTGAGTCTGTGGGGGCACCTGGGGACACCGTCCTGACCCTCTGTGGTTCTCACGGAGCTGAGCCTGTTGAATCTTGGGTGGGTGATGGGTGGCACCTCAGCAATTTCAGCAACAACACAGGAAGGGGCGGCCCTACCCCTTTCTCTGGACCCTTCCAGTTCAGCGCGGCCAGGCTGCTGGTCCTCGGCCTCCCCATCCCCTCCGGGAAGCCCCACTATGGGTTCCGGATTGCCTCGTGGTTCTTGGGCACCGCCACGAATCGCAGCTTCTTCATGACCGCCGGCCAGCCCAGCAGCTGCTGGTCCCACAGGTACTCCGGGGACAGCACCTTAGTGGGCTTGTGGTACAGCAGGTACTTGTTCAGGTGGCTCTCGTCGTGCCACACGGCCTCGATGCCATTGGCCTTGTCGGCCACCATGGCCTCGTGACAGGCTTTGGTGAGCCGCAGCACCTCGGCCACCGATCCCCAAAGAAGGCCCCCATGTAGTAGAAGTCGCCCTCCCCCAGGCGATGTAGGCCTGGGACTGGGCCGGCGCTCATAGGTGAAGTCCTCGCGGCTGTTCTGGAAGAAGCCGGGGTGCAGGGTGCCGAAGAGCGAGGCCAGGATCTCCACGCCCACGTGGTCGCGGAACTTCATGTCCACGTCGGCGCACACCAGGTAATCCACCTCGCGCAGGAAGCGCTGCTCCGAGAAGCGGCTGATCGTGTCCATGCGGTGCATGGAGACGTCCTGCCAGCGCGTGTGGCTGTGCACGGTCAGGACCACCAGCCGCCGTCCGGCCCCCAGGGGCACCTGCGGCACGTCGGCCGGCCGGTCTGTGAACACGTAGTAAGTGACCTGGTGCCCCACCATAAAGTGCTGCTCCGCCGTCTCCAGGAACAGCTTCAGGAACACCACGTATCTGCGAAGCAGGACAGTGGGGCAGGGAGAGAAGTGGGTCCTGAGCCTGGGTCTGGATGCACGAGGCGCAGGGACGCAGGCTACCGCTGCAACCCGCAGCTCCTCCAGACTCCAAGAAGCAAAGCGGTCCTGGGCGATGAGCCACGAGCCACGAGCCATGAGGTGTGGGCCAGGCCTCACCTCACCCTCCTCTACCAGAGGTGGGCGGGGAGGGGGCCACAAGCACCCTGCTTTTGCAAGGAGAGCTGTAACTGAGGCCCTGAAGCCTGCTGTCCACAGCTAGCAGAGCTGGGCAGGGACTCACCTTCCCCGCTGGAGCTCGGGGCAAATCCACTATGGGTTTACCCTGTCACTGCTTCAGCAGCCACCTCTCCTGGAAAATCCTCTGAGGTCCCCCTTCCCATAGCAACCTCTCCTCATACAGCAACCATCTGTGGAGGACTGAGGTAAGAGGTGGGGAAGGACCCCTTCCCATAGCTACCCTCTGTGGGTCACCCCTCCCCTAGGAACCCCTCCAGGGTCCCCCTTCCCATAGCTACCCTCTGTGGGTCACCCCTCCCCTAGGGACCCCTCCAGGGTCCCCCTTCCCATAGCTACCCTCTGTGGGTCACCCCTCCCCTAGGGACCCCTCCAGGGTCCCCCTTCCCATAGCTACCCTCTGTGGGTCACCCCTCCCATAGGAACCCCTCCAGGGTCCCCCTTCCCATAGCTACCCTCTGTGGGTCACCCCTCCCATAGGAACCCCTCCAGGGTCCCCCTTCCCATAGCAGCCCCTCCCCTCTGCCACAGCCCACCCTTGCCTAGACAAGGGGAGCACTGGCCCCGGGCTCTCCTTTCCATTCTGTGGCAGAGCTGGTTGGGATCCTGAGGGTCTGGTCACCTGTGCCTCTCCAGTATGGCTCTCCCTGGGGCCCATCTTGGGAAAGAAGGGTCTCTATGCCCCAGCCCTTCCTCCCTAAGAAGCATGAGGGTGTCTTGTTCCAAGATCCCCCAAACTCCTCTGCCAGAGCAGGGATTCCTCGTAGGGTGGGCTGGGAGGGGAGACAGGCACCCCAGAAACAAGGGGCGCATATGGGTTTACCAAGGCCACAAAACTCAGACCCAAGGGAAGAGCTTATAGCCAGGTCATGTCATCTCCCAGCCCCGAAAGTTTTATCCAATGCCTCAGATGACTGGTGCCTTCCTGAGGTCCCCCAGGGCCACATGCCCAACATGGGGACAGGGATCTCCACTGTCTGACAAGTATGCCATCCCCTCCTCCCACCACACACGAGCATCTGCAGCAGGCAAGTGGATGCTTTACCTGTGCCTGCACCTCACTCCTCAGTGAGTCCCCCACAAGGGGACATACATGGCAGGACAGATGTGAGTCAGGCAGCTGCCAGGGTCTAAGTCCAAGCAGGCCACTGCAGGGCCAGTTCCCCAAGAGGGCGCAGGGGAGGCAGGCCTCCTTCCTGCAGGCACAGCACCTGCCACACAGGACGGGGACCACACTGCACACACACACGCATTGCGGTATTTTGTGTGGGTGACCACCGTCATTTGTCCCAGGGCTGGAGCTGCAGGAATTCTCAGGCTGCCCCATGCTGTTCTTAATCCCTCACACAGGGCATCAAACCTCTCTCAAGTCTCACTTGGTGGAGGCGGCGCAAAGGCCTCAGGGCCATCTTGGGTCTCAGCCGGGCACGGCCTCCTTCCCACATGTGAGCAGAGCGTGCATGGACATCCCCAGGGCCTCCAGCTCCTGCCAGCCCTGCTCTCCACAGGTTGTCACAGGGAAAGGTGTGCCTGGGGCCTCGCTATCTCCTCTCAAGTCAACTCAATGCAGCATCCCGGGGTGCCACAGGTCTGCTGCCTCGCCCCCAGGGCCTGGGGTCACCTGACCCTTACTGTCCACCCCATCCTGCATCTGAGCACACAGCAATGGTCACAGCTAAGCTGGTGTCATGTTCTCCTGGTCCCAGAGGAGACAGATTACCCCTTACTGCCATCTCTGGGGGTGAGGGGGACCCATATGAAGCCTGTACTGAGGGGTGCCCCAGAGTGAAGGGAAAGAGGAAAGGGCAGCAGTTCAGAGCTGCCATCCCTGGGTGAGGCGCAGCCTGGGAGAGAGACAGAGTTGGGGTCATTCACCTGGTCAGCCCACCAGAGCTCAGGAAGTCTCTTGAGGGAATGAATGAACTTCAACACAGACCCTCCAGTCCCTGTGTCCCCAACACCAGGACACACCTTGCTGTCCCAAGCCTCTGCCCTCAGTCCTCTCTTACTTTTTGATGGCAAACACGGTGAGTCCAATGGTGGTGTTCTGAAGCCGGAATTGTTCATTCAGGATGTCGATGTTGAAGGTCCCCTCCCAGACGATGGGAGCCAGCCAAGGAGTCACTACTAGGACGTCTTTCCTACTGCATGGGGAGTGAGCCATGCACAATGTGTGAGTAGGGGGAGGGGGACCACACTTGCCTGCCACCCTCACCTCTCTGCCCTCAGCGTCCCCCAAGACCACCCTTCCAGAAGGACTTGGCATTTGCCAAGCAAGCAACCAGAGGCAAATCCAGACTCAAGCTGGGCCAGTCAGCAGCAGCTCTCATTGAAAGTCAGGCCCGGTGGCCACAAAAGAGCTGAGATTTGCAAGGGGAGGACTATCCCTCTCCCCTAGGGAGGAAGTACCCACAACCTCTGCAAATTCCTGGACGTGCAAAGGGACAGGAGAGAAGGAATGCAAATCAAAGAAACAGAAAAGAAGGACTGGGACATGGCTCAAGTGGTAGAACATCTGCCTAGCAAGCAGGAGGCCTTGAGTTCAAACCCCAGTACTGCCAAACAAAAACCAAAACAAAACAAAAAAACAGGAAAGAGAAATAGAGTATGAGGTGGGTCTTCTGGTTCAGACAAACCTAGGAGGAAAAGGTGGCAAAGCAAGCCCAAACTGCGATTTAAAGCAAGAAGTTTTTTTTTTCTTGCAGTGCTGGGCTTGAACCCAGGGCCTCGCACATGCTAGCCAAGCCTCTGCCACGAAGCTGTGTCCTCAGAGCAGGGAAGCTGTCTCTTAGTATCTGTACAGATGCTCCTGGTACCACTTTACATTTCAGTAAATTTACTCACATGGGTGATAGCACCTTTGGCTGGAGATAAACCATCCTGCAAAAACAAACACATCACAAGTCTGCATGAAAGTCACTCGGATGCTGTCACAGAGGCTCTGGAGTCTGGGGAACAACCCTGCGCAGGCTGCTCAGACCTCAGCCTATCACCCATGATCTGGGAACAGTCTGATTCAGTATTTATAAGTGGAGAGGAACCAAGTGACCTCGGGACTCCCCTGCTTAAGGCTGAGAGAGACCTAAGAACTCCTTTAGTACACGATGGGCAGAGGGGGCTGAATGGTCTCTGTCCCTGGTAACTCCCAGGAAAAGGTCATTAGATACTCAGACCCTCCCACCTGAGTCTGAGGCTGGCTGGTGGCACCCAGAGCCCAGGCTCCCTGTCTCCATGACAGGGCATGGAGCCCCAGAGGCAGCCCCCATGGTGACAAAAAATGCTGTCCATGCAAAACCTGTGACAATGTGTGAGCAGTGGACTGTCCTCTCCTCCCCTCCCCCACAAAAGATGTAGAGCCCCAAGAGACAAGCACCAGACATGGCAGTAATCTGCATTTCCTGTGATGGCTTTCAGAAGGAGGAAGTCAGCCGAGTGATTTAAGACAGTCACAAAAGGCCAAATCCTGTAGGAGTCCATCACAGGAGGTGCTACTGTCCAGAGGTCACACTCACAGAGACAGCACCAAGATGGGAGGTGGGTGTCAGGGCCCAGGGCAGGGGATGGGGGATGTGTTTCATGGAGACGGTTTCCACTTTGCAAAATGTAAAGTTCTGATGGTGGATGGTAGAGATGGTCACAGTGCGAATGTGCTCTTAAAATGGTGAGATGCTAATTTCATGTTTTGTGTATTTTGCCACAATTTAAAAAAAATAAAAGGAGAGGGGCCAGTTCTGCCTGGACTGCTTGAAACGTCTCCCAGGAAACTGTCCGAGTCCCAGCCAGGCATGTCAGCCTGGTCATCCTCTTTAAAAGCCAGATGACCTGCAGTTGGGCCAAATGAAGCACCAGCTCCCTGTGGTCTCTCAGTGGCTGAAGGATGAGCCAAAGCCAGAGCAGAGATCTGGGAGAAGTCACACTCTCCAGCTCAGGCAGAGGAGATGGGCTGCCCCAGCTCCCACACCTCTGTCTGCATGCACAACTCTGTCCAGGTGCACACATCCCGGGGCAGAGGACACCAGGAGACATTATACCTGGACAAGGTTACAACTTGCCAGCGTCCAGCTTCCCCACAGCCATGCTGCAGAAGAAAACAGGAATCGGGTCTACACCAGGAGCAGAATTTAGGGCACGAGTGCATGGAACCTAGCTGGGGCCAGGTGAAAGAGGTGCAGTGGAGGGGGAGCTTTCACCAGAAACATGAGAGATCTCCAAGGGATGCACGCAGCTGGGCCCAGACAGGGACAGTCATCAAGAACATGAATGTTTGGCCAATGTGGTTGTGCACGCCTGTGATCCCAGCTATTTGGGAGGTGGCGGTTGAGGAATCAAGATCCCCGGCTAGCCCGGGCAAAAGCGGGAGACCTTACCTGAAAACCAAACTAAAAGCAAAGGGACTGGGGTGTGGCCCCCCGTGCCACCAAAACCCAAAAATGAAAGGGACTTTTCCATCACAAGGAGCAGTGCACACTGACCCGAGTGGGGATCAGCGGAACAAAGGCCTGAGTCTGGACTGCAGGGCAGGCACTGGAGCTCACGGGGACAGGGGGCATGGCAGGACAGGGTTCGAGAGGCTGGCCAGCAGGCTGGATCAGACCAGAGGGTCTCCTACCTTATATTCCTGAAGGACCACTAGCTGCTGTGAGGAGAGAGGGGTCGGGGCAGCAGAGGAGACAGGTAGACAAGCATGAGGATGTGGAAGGTGAGGTCAGCCTTGGCCACAGGGAGGCTGTGAAGGCAGGGAGAAGCCCGGGATTTGGAGACATTGACAGGCAGAATGACAGGATGTGGGGTCCATCCTATGTAGGGGTGAGGCAGGTCTCTAACTTGGGCAGGAGGGTAGAAAACAAAGCCATGCACTGAACAGGCTGCTCAGGTGGAGGGGCACTTGGAGGGCGCAGAGGCCATCCTTGGAACCTCCATGGCTGGAGGTCAGATGGGAGGCTGAGGCTGAAGCCAGAGATGTGGAGGCAGAAGTGTCCAGTGACCCTTCAAGGTAACAGGGTGGGGTGGTCAGGCTGCTCTGGGCAGTAGAAGAGACCCAGATGGAGGGCACAGGGCAATCCAGCGGAGGAAGCCCATGGCCCTTCCTCTCCCTCACCTGGGCTCAGCTCCCAGGTCTTCCAGCGTCTGGCTGCTGGGGCTCATGAATCTGTAGCTGCAGGAAGGAAGTGTGCCTTATTCAGCCACTTGAGACACAGACCTGAGACCTGCTGTCCATCCCACCCTCCTAAAAGCACAGCTGGAGTCAGTGCAGTCAGCACAGAACTTCCTAGTGACAGGCAAGGTCTTGTGACAGGGCTGGGCAGGCTCTCAGCAAAGCCCAGGCCACTTGCCACATCCCACACTAGGAGGTCAGCAGTAGGAAGGAACCTGGGGACAGGGACTGTGTCTGGACAATGGCAGCAGCTGCAGAAGTTCCACAGAGACAGGTCCCTGCAGCCTGAGGCCACCCTGGGGAGTGGTTCCTGGCTATCCACTGATGCCCCAGTACAGCTGGTGGTGCCTTTGCTTGCTAAGGTTCAAGGGCCTTCTGTATCTGGAAGGGACTGCAGCTTGGCCCAGGCTCACCTGCCTCACCTTCCCCAGCCCCAGCCGTGCAGCTGCAGGTAAACAACTCAGCCTCCCAGCCCCAGACCCTCCAAGAAATGGGAGATGATCCCCCAGGGGAAGACAAGCACCCCCACAGGAAACGAGCATCCCTAGGGAAAGATGACCCCCACCCCCGCCAAGGAAGACAAACACCCCCAGGGGAAGATGAACAGCCCCAGGTGAGGCATAACTAAGGGGCAAGCAGAGGCTGGACACTCCATCCAGCCTAAGCTGAGCTGAGTATGACAACTGTCACACTAGGGAGTGGGGACAGCTAGGGATCTCCACAAGTGTCTGATGGGCTGCTCCTCCGAGCCTGGTTTCTTACCAAAAGAAGACCAAGATAAGAATTGCTAGCGGAAGGGTTCCACGATGAAGCAAGGAGCATTTCAGTTTTCCTGGAAACAGCAGTGGAAATCCAATCACTCTCTCCTTCTTCGCCCACCCCCTTACCAGTCTCTTCCCGAGATTCAGACATCAGGTCCTCCGTGTTGGGGACAGTGCAGGGCATGTATGCAAGGCGTCCCCAAACCCAGCTCAATCTCAGTTCCCTCTGCTTACTCAGAGAAGGAGAAGGCAATTGATCCCTTGCTCAGTTTCAGGGTCACCTTGGGCCCCCACTGCCTCGTGCCACTAAGCACCTCCTTCCCGTGGGACACAGAAAAGAACACTGTGAGGTCACTGCTGGCCTCCATCAGGGGAGGCCAGGACCAGCTTCCTCCAAGTACCCCCTGCCCCATGTGTGCTCGTGTCCACGGAGCAACTGGGCCTTGAGCATGCTACACAAGTGCCATATCACCGCGCCACACCCCAGCCCTCAGTTTAGTTTAAATTTATCAAAGTCCTGATTCTCACAGCTAAGAGTAAGAACCCCTCTTCTTTCCCCAAATCCCCTTCCTGTTCATAGTGCTGCTCTGCATTTGCCTCCACCTTTCCAAACCCTCTGGCCATGGAACAAGTGATACGAAGGGACATTTGAACCCTGAGTCTTGAATGTGTTTTTGCCATTTTGGCAGATGGTAGATAGCTAAGTGGAAAGAATCCTCTTTCAGTTTTGAAGAAATTGTTCCATAAAAAATTACTTTGAAAATCAGGTTTGTGGAGGGGCAGGTATTGGGGCTTGAACTCAGGGCCTTCACCTTGAACCACTCCACCAGCCCTGTTTTCTTGTGATGGTTTTTTCGAGATAGGGTCTCATGAACTATTTGCCCAGGCTGGCTTCAAACGGAGATCCTCCTGATCTCTGCCTCCTGAGTAGCTAGGGTTACAGGCATGAGCCACCAGTGTCCAGCTAAAATCAGCTTCTCTGAGGTGTAATTTACACCATGAGAATGTACACATTTTAGGTACAGAGCTGGAACAGGGAGCCACCACCCCAGCAGGATGTGCACTCCGCCTAGGTGGAGTCCTGCCATACACATTCCTTCGTGTCTGGCTGCTTTCACACGGCACAATGCTTTGAGGGTTCACCTGTGCTGTCACTGCTGGCTAGAACTCCCTGCAATATGCTGCAGCTTGGTTGTCACCTGCCAACAGGTTTTGTTGTGGCTTTCCTGTCTGGGGCACTGCTAACAAAGCTTCCAGAAGCATTCACATGCAATACAGATGCAGGCATTTGCATTTCTCCTAAAGACTAAGGAGTGAAAGGCAGGTCATTTGTCAGCTATATGTTTATCTTCACAAGAAACTGCCAGCTTGTCCGTGTGGTCAGGGATTGTCCATTGTCACCAGCTCACATGACAAGTCCTGCTGCTCCTTGTTCTCGCCCACACTTGGTCATCCCTTTTCAGGTCGCCATTCCAGAGGGTGTGCAGTGGGTCACTGTGGCCCACCACCTTTTCGTCTGTTTGTTGGTCATCTGTTTCTCAGAAGTATTTGTTCACTTTTTTCGCTCATTTTAATCGAGTCTCTTCATCTTTATTTTGGGTTGTTTCTCTTTTTATTCTTGAGCAGTAGGGTTTTATTGCATGCTCTGGATGTTAAGTCCTTTGTCAGCGATATGCACCACATACGCTTTCTTGGACTGTGGCTTGTCTATTCATATTTCCTTCATTTCATCCCTTCAAAGAGGTTTTAATTTTGAAAGTTTATCTTTTCATGATTTGAACATTTTGTCTCATGTAGTAAAGCCCTGCCTCCCCAAGTTCCTAAGAATTTTCTCCAGAAACATCAAAAGGTGTTGTGTCTGTTGTAAAGGACGAGGTTCTTTTCTCAACACCACACTGTTCAGCCATTTGGGTTGAAAACGCACTCCTTCTCCCATCACATCACTTTATGGGAAATATGTGTGGGTTTCTTTCTGGACTGTCTTCTATCCACTGACTGACTTCGTCCTAGCACCAACCTGCACTGTGACTATAGCTGTGAAACACACCCTGGAATCAGCCCAGGCAAGGCCTCCAGCTATTTTTCTTTTTCAAAATTGTCTTGGCTATTCTGGGACCTCTGAATTCCCATATACATTCTAGAGTCAGTGCGTCGATGTTTATAAAAACTCCTTCTGGAGGTTTGATTGGGATTACGTAGACTCTAAGGATTAATTCTGACTCTTTCAGTCCATGGACATGGTATATCTCTCCAGTCTTATGTGTCCTTTAGGCTCTGTCAGCAGTGTTCTGCCCTCTTAATTGTATAGGCACCGATCCTAATTTGGTAGACTCATCCCTAAGTAGTTCACGTTTTCTGATGCTACTACAAATTATGTTTTTTTATTTATTTCAATGTTCAATTGATGGCTGTAAGCATTACAGAAAAAAAAAAAACCTGACTTATATATTGATTTTGCATCCTGAGCTCTTGCTAAGCTTAGACGCAGGGTTTATAACACACACACTCACACACAAAATTTTTATGATAATAAAGGTACAAAGAAGCAAGGAAGAAATGAAGCTATATTATAGCTAAGAAATGTCGCCAGACAATAACTAAAATATACAGGAAGAAATTTTTAAAAGTAAATGGTAAATACACAGTTTAGTATAAAAGACTTGAAAGTATTTTTCTCCTTACTTAATTTAAAAGAAGTAAGACTGTGTAAAGCAGTAGTGACAGCACAGGGTAATATACAGATGGACATTTAGACAGTGACACCACATACCCGAGAGGGAGGAGATGGATCTACCCTGAGCAGTTTCCGTGACTCAGTAATAGTAACACCTTCACATTACTTGAATGAAGGCAGAAGTAATCTGAAGTAGATCTGATAAATTAAAATGCATATTGCAATCCCTCAAGCAATCTCTTATAAAAAAACCTTAAAACATAACTTTTAAAGAGCAATGGAATAAAAACAGTACATCAGAAAATACCTATTTAATACCAAAGAAGGAAGTAAAAGATAACAAAAGAACAGAAAACCCTGACATGTAGAAAACAAATTGCTAATGAAAGCTGAAATCCAACCACGGCAGTGACTACACTGCAGATGAACAGATGGTCTCGCTAAAAGGCAGAGACCCGGTTGGGGCTGAGCTCAGAGGCAGAGCACTTGCTTAGCAAGCATGAAGCCCTGGGTTTGGTCTTCAGCACCAGAAAAAGGCAGCAGAGATTGCCAGGATGGATTTAAAAAAAATACAAGCATCAACTATATGGTGTGTACAAGAGACACACTTTAGAACCAAGACACAAATAGGACCAAAGCAAAGCAGTAGTAAGAGGTTTGCCAAACAATAACCAAAACAGCATCAGGCAAAATGTACTTCGAGGCCAAAAAATGTTACTAGACACAAAGAAAACGTTTTACAATGGTATCAAGTCACTACACCAGCAAGATACAAGCGTAAATATAAATCCACCTAGGGAGCAAAAAGTGACAAACTGAGTGAAGGAACAGTCACGTCAACATTAGCTGCTAGAGACTTTAAATCCCCCCACTCTCAGTCACAGACAGAACAGATAAAGATGAAATCATTGTGTAAAGATTTTACATCACATAAACCAACCCAACCTCACGGATATTCACTCAACACTCCACCCAACAAGAGCCAAAGCCACGGTCTTCTCACGTGTCCAGGGACGTCCTCGAGACAGGCAATGTACCACAAGCAAGTCCTGATAAACTCAGAAGGATGCACATTATCAAGTTTGCTCTCTAACTCAATGGGATGAAATTAGAAATCAAAGCAAAAACCTGGCAAGTCCACAAACACAAGGAAAAGTGAAAACACACTTCTAACAACCAGTGGATCAAAAAGGAAAGTCAAAGATGTTCTGAGCTGAGCAACAGTGAAAACACAATGTCCCAGCATTCACAAGATGCAACCAAAGTGTGTTGAGGGGAAATTTGCAGCTGCAATGCCTACAGTAAAGGAAAATCTCAAAGCAATAGCTGAGTTTCCATCCTAAGTAATTACAAAAAGAAAATTAAATCCAAAGTGAGTAGAAAGAGTAAACCACAAAGATTAGAGTGGAAACCAATGAAACAGAAAACAGAAAAGAAAGAAAAAAATCAAAGAAACCACATGTCAATTCTCGGAAAAGATCAACACAGTTGGCAAATTCTGATGAGACTGAAACAAATAACTAAAATCAGAATAAAGAGAAGACACCAGCACCAATCTTACAGAAGTTAAAAAGATTTTAAGGGAAAATGATCAGAAATTACTTGCCAACAAATCGCACAATTTAGATGTCAGGCACAGATTCTTAGAAAGACATAGAAAAGTCTTAGAAGAAAACCTAAGACTCAATCTTTGTGACACTGGATTATACACATTCTAAGATCTGACCCTAATTCATAATCAATGAGAAAAAATGATAAACTGGAATTTAAAAATGGAAACTTCTGTGCACAAAAACACCAGTAAGTGACAAGACATGCTACAGGAGAGACTATCTGCAATACACCTGACAGCACACATCTGATGTGTGCACTGAGAATATATAAAGAACTCCCAAAAGGCAAAGTTTTAACAGGCATTTCACCAAGGAAGACACATATGGCTAAGAAGCAAATGACGGATGTCACCATCATGTCACTGAGCGCATGGGAATCCAAACATGATGTGCCCACAGGTTGGCTGCACCATGCACCGTGCAGACGTGGAGAAACGGGAACCCTCAACACTGCCGATGGGGGTGGAAAACAGTTTATTAGTTCCTTAAAATGTTAAAGCTGATTTACCGTATGACCCAGCAATTCCACTGCGGGGAGTCTACCCGAGAGAAATAAAAACACATGTCAACAGGAAGCCTTTCACAAAAGTGTTCACGGCAGAGTTGTTCCAAGTAGCTAAAGTGTGCCAACAACCCCAAAGTCTATCAGCAGACACCTGGGTGAGCACAACGAAGCATCATCCAGCAATAAAGATGAATGAAATGCAGACACCTGCTTCAATGTGGACAGACCTCTTAAACATTGCCCTAAGTGAAGAGAGTCAGCTGCAAAAAGGACTTCATTTATATGAATCATCCAGAAAAAAGCAAAGCTACAGAGCACAGGAAGGGATGGAGAGTGAACGCTAGTGAACACAAGGGAAGTCATCTGGTGGGGGAGGTGATGGAAAAGCTCTAAGACTGATTTCACATCTCTGGAAATTGACCAAAAATAACTGCACATTGCATTTAAGACAAGTGAATGTCAAGGTGTGCAATTACACCTCAATAAAGCCACTTTAAAAAAGTGCCCGTGAGCACAGATCATTGGTCCCAAGACAAAGGAAGAGATGCCAGGTGCCTTCAGAGCAGACTCAACAGCTGGTTTTCTGAAGTTACACACAAATTCCAAGTAAGATGTTTGACCTTTTCTTGCCACTGGTGAGACCATATGGAGAGCCAGACCTGTCGTGCAGCCCTTTGCCAGAACTCCTGGTGGGCGGGCCATGCCCAGCTTACCATCTGCCAACTGTGTCCTGTTCCACTTCCAAGGTTGCCTGGGTTCTCTTCCTGACCCTCAGGAGCCATGGCCTTTGCCTCAGCACCTGCCCTCCTTGGCAGCCCCACTGACTTCTGGGGCAGGGTCTCCTTTTGGGGCACACTCATTCCCCAGATGTGCATACATGGGCCCCCTCATTTGTGTCCTCACCTGGAAGTTCTCCTTCCTAGCACCAGGCTGACTGAAGCTTACCAGGTGTTCTAGGAGCATTTGCTGGCTGAATAAACGGATGGATGAGTGTGGGTAACCTGAGAAGAAGGGACACTAGTTTGCCAGGTTTCTCAAAAGACCGGAACTTCTAGCTCAAATGACAATGAGTCAGCCCAATTCAGGAAAAAGCAATAGGACACTCAGTGACATGTGACTAGTAAAATCCCTCCAAACTCACTGCTTCCAGATATATTGTGACAGGCAGGCCAGTTTGATCCATGCAATTTGACTCGGTAAACACTCCTGGAATTAATACTTTACCAACAACAGACTGATGCTGTAGACGCAAAGGGTGAGAGGACACCATGGGAACCGCTGCAGAGAACTCTGTAGAAAATTGTTGTAACACTGCCAATTTACAAAGGGAGAGATTCATGTGTAAAAAAAACAACAAAAAAATAACTCAGTTATCCTGAACTCCTTAATCTTCAGAATAACTGGGCCAGACCCTGTCCTGGACCTCAGGGGTATGGCCATCTGCTCTGAGTCCCTGGTCCTCTAAGGGTGCAGAGCAGGTAAAATGACCAGTCTCTGACGTGAGGACAACTATCTAAATGGAGTCCATGAGAGCGAGGGACTCTGGGAGCAATAGAAGTGTTATCTTGATGGGTGACTGGTCAATGTTTGCATGTGGCAACAGTTATCAAATTGTACACTTCAGTTGGGCACTGGTCGCTCACTAGGACTTGGGAGGCTGAAATTGGGAGGATGTCAGTTTGAAACCAGCTCAGGTGAACAGCTGGCAAGACCCCATCTCCAAAATAACCAGAGCAAAATGGACTGGCAATGTGGCTCAAGTGGTAGAGCAGGAAGGGAAGGAGGCAGGAGGGAAGGAGAGAAGGAGAAAGGGAGAGAGGGAGGCAGGGGAGGGAGGGAGGAGAAAGGAAGGCCACAGAGGAACTAGGAAGAACCAGGAGGGATTAGCAATGGAGAGAGGCAGGCCTTGATGGAAGAATCTCTCCAAACTGTCTTTCTGTGACTCGGTAAGGACAATCACCTCCCAGGGCTTTTCTGAGAGCACAGTGGCCCTGACCACAGCCCCTGCTCAGAGTAAACACTAACCAAAGGTGGCAGTTGTTGATGACAGGGACTCACAACTCTTTTCTGAGCTTTTCCCAGTTCCTACTCAGGACAGCCAGGTAGGCCCGTGTCCCCGACCAATCAAGCCCAATTTCATCCCCTTCCTGGTTGCAACCCAAACATGCCTCTCCCCAAACCTGACTATATACTTCAGTGCTCTAAGTCAGGAAAATGTGCAGGCCTGGGCGCTGGGCCCTGGGTCTCATCCGTTTCCCGACCCGGCTCACACACCTGCATCGGTCACCCACGTCTCCACGTCCCCCTGATCGGCTCTTCGTCCTCGGTGCTTGGGGCGCAGTGCCCGCTTCCCACGCGCAGTGGGCAGCACCTGAGCTTTCGGGGTCCACCGAGGCAGCGCTGTCCCGCGCTGGACACCCAGGGACTCCACTGCCGGTCCCCGGAGGTCCAGCTGGGAGCTCCCATCCTGTTCGGGGTCGGAAGTGGGGGGGCCACCAGACTTAACCACGGCCCTGCGTGCTGGGCCCGAGGCCGAGGGTCGCAGGCCCCTCGGACCGCTCCGTGCGCCCTCCGTTTCCCAGCCGTGCCGCGGGCCGCGGCCGCACTCACCGGCCAGTGTGCGCAGCTCGGCCATGGCTCAGCGCCTCCACCTGCCGCCACCTGCCGCCACCTGCCGCCACCTGCCGCCTCCCTCCGTCACCTTCCGCCTCCCTCCGCCAGGAGCCTCCGGGGGCGGGGTGTCCCCGAGGCGTTCACATCTCGCCTGAAGCGCCCGCCGCTACGACCCCAGGCCAGAGCCCGCGAGGGAACAGGGGGCGCTGAGCCAGTCCGGGAGGTGGAGGACGGAGGTGGGGTGCTCGGGGACCCCAAGGCCCGGCTAGGACGCGTGGGGCCCGCCTCCGAGAGTAGCGACCAAGACCCACCGGTCCTGGGAGCCGCGCCCTCTCCCGCACCCTGACGCCCGACCTCGCCCTGACGCCCCGTCCCCAGCACGCGCACCCTGACGCCCCGCCCTCACCCTGACGCCCCGCCCTCGCCTTGACGCCCCGCCCCCTCCCTGACGCCCTGCCCTCACCTTGACGCCCCATCCTCGCCCTGACGCCCCGCCCCGCCCTCGCCCTGACGCCCCGCCCTCACCCTGACGCCCCGCCCTCGCCTTGACGCCCCGCCCCCTCCCTGACGCCCTGCCCTCACCTTGACGCCCCGTCCTCACCCTGACGCCCCGCCCCCAGCACACGCACCCTGGTGCCCGCCCCCCCCTGACGCCCCGCCCTCGCCCTGACGCCCCGTCCTCGCCCTGACGCCCCGTCCTCACCCTGACGCCCCGCCCTCGCCCTGACGCCCCGCCCTCACCCTGACGCCCCGTCCTCACCCTGACGCCCGCCCTCGCCCTGACGCCCCGCCCTCACCTTGACGCCCCGCCCCGTCCTGACGCCCCGCCTCACCCTGACTCCCCACCCTCGCCCTGACGCCCCGCCCTCGTCCTGATGCCTGCCCCCAGCACACGCACCCTGACGCCTGCCCTCGTCCTGCCGCCCCGCGCCCACCTTGACGTCCTGTTCTCGCCCCAAGCCCCGCCCTCGCCCCAAGCCCCGCCCTCGCCCCAAGCCCCGCCCTCTCCTGGAGCCCTGCCCCAACACGACGTGGACCCTGACGTCTTGGGGCAGAGCCCCCCCCACCCCGCCTTGCTCCGGGCTATGAAGTTCCACGCCCGCACAGTGCGCATCCTGCCCAGGCCTCCGCTGTCCAGTCCCACGGGAGCTTGGCGTCGTCTGCAGTCTGGCTGGGTGTGACTCGGTGCCCGGCCATGGCTGCATCCTTCACTGCTCGTCTCCTGCGCTAGGCAGCCGGATGCAGGGGAGCCCGTACCCCGCCCCAAGAAGAGAGGTGAGGTGAGAAGGAACACCCTGCAGGTGGGCACCATGGCGTGACAAGAGCCTGCGTCCATCCAGCCGGTTCAGAGGCTTCTTCACACCTCTCCCGGCAGTCAGAGATGCGCACCTGATCCGCCTTTAGTGGGTGAGGAAACTGAGGCACAGGAAGGCGAAGCAGTCACGAAAGATGCCTTACTTAATCCTTGAACTCGTATTTCTTACTTCCTGGTCTCTAGTCACTGTCAGCCAAGCTCAGTGTTGGGGCTGGAGCCCAGCGCCACTCGCACTCCATCAAGTGCTTTCCAGTTGAATTTCACTTTCCCTTGGTGTTGGCCAACAGGAAGCACACGTGTAGGCCAGAACACAGGTCTCCATGGGCTTAGTGGTGTTGTCATTGTCAGTTAAAACGGTTCTGTGCCCTGTCCATCTCTCCCAGCCCTCCCTTCCATCTGGCTCATCTATTACTTGGCTGGGGACCAGGTCCCCTTGGGCAGGAAACCAGCCAGAAAAATCTCAGGGTGCCTTTTTCTCAGAGAGATATCCCATGTTCATGGATAGGAAGACTCGAAACTGTCAGCTTGAGGTGAGCATCAACACAGTCCCAATCAAGTTATTTTGTCAGTACTAAAAGCTGATCCTAAACTCTGTAAGGAGAACCAAAGGCTGCAGAAAAGCCAACACAGTGATGGAGAGGAATAAAATTAGAGAACTGACACTGCCTAAGACAGCGTGGTACTGGTGAACGAATAAGCAAACAGGTCAATTGAACAGAATAGAGAGCCCAGAAATAGACCCACATAAATACAGTCAACTGACCTTTGCAAAGGAGCAAACTCAGTACAATTGAGACAAAACAGTTTCCAGTAAATGCTCCTGGAGCAACTGGACATCCAAAAAAAATGCAAAAAAACCAAAAAAATCTAGCTTGGCACTGGTAGCTCACGTCTATAATCCTAGATACTCAGGAGGCAGAGATGAGGAGGATCACAGGTCTAAGCCAGCCCAGGCAAATAGTTCGAGAGACACTATCTCGAAAAAATCCATCACACACACAAAAAAAAGGCTGGTGGAGTGGCTCAAGGTGTTGACCCTGAGTTCAAGCCCCAGCACCACACACACACACACACAAAATCTAAACATAAACTTTATACCCTTCACAAAAACTAACCCAAAATGGACCACAGACTTAAATATAAAATGCAAAGTATAGAGCTTCTAAAAGAACAGGAGAAAATCTAGATGACCCTAGGTTGGGCAGTGACTTTTTAGATATGACAACCAAAGGCATAACAATGAAAGAAATAACAAAAGAGCTGGACTTTATTAAAACTAAATTTTTGCTCTACAAAAGTAACTAAGAACTAAAAATCGAGCCATGAACTCAGAGAATATATTTGCAAAAGACATCTCCAATAGGAGAAGGGGACCAGGAACTAGAGAAAAGGTGAGATCAAAAAGAATTAACCTAGAAGGTAACACACATGCACAGGAAATCAATGTGAGTCAACGCCCTGTATAGCTATCCTTATCTCAACCAGCAAAACCCCTTGTTCCTTCCTATTATTGCTTATACTCTCTCTTCAACAAAATTAGAGATAAGGGCAAAATAGTTTCTGCCGGGTAGCAAGGGGGTGGCGGGGAGAGGGAGGGAGTGGGGGGGTAAAGGAGGGGGTGGGGGAAGGGAGGAGAAATGACCCAAACATTGTATGCACATATGAATTTAAAAAATAAAATAAAACTATGAGGAGGAGGACACAAGATTTTGCCAACGTGAGCCTGCCCAGCAGCAGATGCAGGTGCAGTTTCCCTGGCCTTGGCACCCTCAATCCTTGTCGGAGTCTCGTCAGCCACCGTCAGTGTCTTTCTGTGGCATCAACGGCTAAGTAGTGATGCTTCACTAGCATTAGAGACTTGTTCTTATGCAGATTGCATCAGCAATGACCTTGGTAAATTTATCAATGAATTTCTCTGAAACTTCATGATCAGTAGAATCATCACACAAATTTTTATAAATTTAATGCCTTTTTTCCCTCAAATTTCTGCAGGTCCTTTCCGTTTTCAGCGCATCATGGAAGGTCTTTGCTTATTTCATAGCCAGTGAGGATAAAACCCCCACTCTTCATTCTCAGCGTTATGCACTGTTTTTCCAGTTTTCATGAACTTGTGTTTGTCACTTTCGGCCTAGAACTTCAAGTGTGTCCTTCTGTTTCTTCAGGTCATCCCTACACCTTACCTGTGTGCTTTCATCCTTGCCCAGCTCCTCTGGCAGCTTGATTTTCTGTGCTGTGGCTGAACATAACTGCTCCCTCTTTTCTTATCACCACTACCCACAGGGCTGACCGCAGGCCTTTATGACATTTTCAATACCTTTGCACCATGAACCAGACAATAAGCAAACCATAGTGAGTAATGCATAGTGATCCTGGCCCCTCACAGGGTGTTGTCAGGACTTGCCGATGGCATACCGGCCTACAGGTGTGTCACTTTCTTAGCCTGTGTGGGCCTGCTTGTGTAGGGGAATCCAAACATGCAGAAAAGATATGTAGGGTCTGTTCACCTTTGAGGGCACTGAATGAACTATGCTCTGCATCTGTGCTTTGACTGCAACCCATGGGAAATCAGAACCAACACACATCACTGGCACACCCTGCCAAATCACCCCAGGCTCAGAGTTGTGGCCACCACCTTCCAGGGGGCCAGGTCTCAAGGCCATCTTTTGGAGCACCTTGCACTCTGCTCACTACTTCTGGGCCATGGGGATTTGGCTAGCTCTGAACCTGGGAGCTGATCCCACCACCCACACTCGCAGCAACAGCATCTCTGCTTTGGTCGCAAAGAGTGGACCCTCTGAAAATGGGGATCTAGGAAATAGTGGGAATGTGAACAGAGCATCTCTCCTGGCCTGTCTGGGGACAGAAGCCCTCCCATCAAGGAAAAAGTCAAGTGGACTTGAGAGAGGCAGTCATCACTTCTGGTTTCCTCTCCCAGGAGGTTTAATTCAAGCTGTGACTGCTGCCAAAGGCCCTCACAGAGCCCATTTTCCCGGCCATAAGGCTGGGCGCATGCTGAAGAACGCACAAGGTGGAAGGAAGGCAGAGCACACTGTCTTCCAAAAGGTCCACTGAGGCCACTGGGTGCCAGGCCTTTGTAGAGGACCATAAGATGCTGGGTGCCGGTGGCTCACGCCTGTAAGCCTAGCTACACAGGAGGCAGAGATCAGGAGGATTGAGGTTCAAAGCCAGCCCTAGGCCAATGGTTCACAAGACTCTATCTCAAAAAAACCCTTCACAGAAAAGGGCTGGTGGTCTGGCTGAAGGTGTAGACCCTAGTACTACAAAAACAAAACAAAACAAAAACCCAAAAAACAAAAACTAGAGGGCCATCAGTAAGAAGGTGAGCAAGGAGTGCTTGTCCTGCCCACCAATAGCCTCTGGGAGATCCACACCAAAAAGGCTAGGTTGTTACCTTCCTCCTGAGTCCTGCCACCTGCTGCTCTGCATTCTGCCATGTGACCATCTCCCTGAGCAGGTCCCCTGCTCTGAGTTCAGCTCCCTCTTGCCCCCTGTGTTCTGAGGACTGTAGATCCCCTTGTCCAAAAAGCTCAGGCTCGCTGGACCCCTCTTGGGTCTGCACAGGGCCTCTGATAGTGCCCTTGGAGATGTTGGCAGGCAGTGGCAGGGAAGCAGGGTGGCTGTAGAGGCCTCTGGCTCCCAGACTACCCTTTGGTGAGCTCCCCATTTCCCAAGCAATGAGTAGCTGG